CTTCATAGTTAGAGCCTATTTGTGTATTTGTGTACTGTGTTGTCCTTTATGTGCTGATGAAGGCTAATCGCCGCAACGTCCTTTGTTTGTTTATTGTGATCGATTTTGTAAAGCTAACATAAACTAATTGTTGTTTCTTACCAACTTTTTTTCTTCCCTATAATTTTCTACTCCTTATAAAAAAATACCCAAAATGCAGCATTTACTTGTTACGTCATTTATAAGCGCAGTTGGCAAAATAACCTCAGTTACTGTTGAAAGTTTTCCAAAATCCAATTATTTGCATGATTGTGTTAAACAACATGCGAATACTAACACAGATTGGGCAGAAGCCGTGATTTCAGAAATGAAACCCTGGCCATGAAATTGAAGAGGCCATAGACGTCAGCAGATTTACTGTCTTCGTTAATTTTGCGACAACTTTATGAAAATAACAATCGATTCATTCCAATAATGGCTGCCCGAAAAGGCTCTTTGTTCGACTTTCCGAACCATTGCCAGAATCCAGGCTGGCAGATACTAGCAATAAAACATAATTGCCAGATTGGTCGCTGGTATGATAAATCTAGATAAATCAGTATATCGAGTTATTGAGCCAAATATAAAATAGAATCTGATTTATAGCAGAATTACGGAGTAGATAATCTGTTATGCTGGGCATCTCCTGGCATAAATTCCACATTCGTTAAAAAAAAATATAAATACCTGAAAAAATAATTTGAGTCTAAAATAGGGTTCAGCTTATTAAATAGGGAAACTTTCTTCTTGTATACATAAACCAAACCATGAAACAGACTTAAGCTTATTCCGAACTTGTCTTTACACGGTCGAACCAGTTGAGGCTAAATACAATAGAAAGTTAAAAACGTAAACCAAAAAAAAAAAAAAAAAAAAAGGTGTTTAAACTACACATGAAAGAGACGCATATGAGAAATAAAAATTTAGCTATACCCAGCTAAATGAATCAAATGTCATACACAACCCTATATTATATATATGTATATATATATATATATATATATATATATATATATATATATATATATATATATATATATATATATATATATATATACGCGCGCACAGAGAGGAAGGAGAGAAAGAGAGAGAGAGAGAGAGAGAGAGAGAGAGAGAGAGAGAGAGAGAGAGAAAGAGAGAACCCTTTTCATGCGTCAGTGATTTGGGTATGCTATACTAGTGCCAAATTTATACAGGCAAACTTGAATATGTTGAGGTCAGTTAGTTTTAAGATCCGACAGCCGAACACGCGGGATATTCCCCACTGCGTCTCATATCCAGAAGTGCGCGAAGAGTTCTTATTCCGATGGTACCAGTAGAACTCTTGATTCCTGGGAAGGCATGACAAGACGCTATAACAAACAATCAAGTGCCAGAAAAAACAGACGTTACGGCAGTGCACTCTCCTCGAAAAGAGGCATCGTCATTGGCTGAGCCCTGTATATCGAATGCAGAATTGGCCTATTCCCAATAATCGTCCCTTTGAAAGCTAGCCACAAGGAAGAGGAGGTCAGCGGAGGACCCAGCATACTATATAAGGATGTCTGTAAACAGAATATCAAATCCTTTGAGCAGATGCATAAATATGAGAAAGAATTCCAGCAGACTGGAGAAGACATGTGTGAAACGGATTGGAGCTCTTTAAACGCAATCTGATCCAACAAACCGAAGACAGGAGGCAAATGTATACATTTCAGTCATTTTCTGTAGGGCCTGCTTTGTCTTAGAGATGAGCAAATTGTGGCAGAGACTATCACTCTGGCATTAGACAATTGAGACTTCAGCATCACAACCTGGCGCCCTCTCAGCGACACAACCCTATTGTCTACCCTACCGGGCTGAAAGAGGACGACCATTACTATAGAACATTCCAAAAGTTGTGTCAAACTTAAAAAATATGTATCTCGGTAACCGTTTAGTGTAAATTAATTTAATTTGGCATGCAACTTGTTAATAATCATTTCCTTGTAAGAAAGTAATTATAATGTAAACATACGTTTAGTTCTTGCACCTAGTGAGAGTAATCTGTGTGAAAAACTAAGGCGGGTTAATTTTAAATAGTGAACTGCCATAACGCTTGCTGGTCGTTCATAAAAGTTAATAATATGCCTCAATTACTGTGTTTCTTTTGAGGGAGACACCAAATTAGGTCTGATAAAAATCAAAGAAATTCGCCGCTGTAAGAAAACAGCAGAGCCCGTGAAATTGTAAGGCTACAAGCAAAAGTTAATCCGTACAATTTTTTTATATTTTTTTTAGATTTGTGTTTTAGCTTGAAGGCACGCCTTTTGTAACGGACTATCCCACCAAATGCCCGTCCTGCCGTTCTGAGTGTAGAGTTTTGGACACTTCCCACAACACGGTTCTCTTCACACAGTTACAGTTCATTCGCGCTTCAGCAATGTACACCTGCTCCTAAAGGGTCTTGATCACCTATAGCTTGGGCTGCATCAATTCAACTCTGTGGATGATGTGATCGGCTACCTTTAATAACGAGGGAATTTCCTAGCTTCCACTTCAGGTTGGATTACCCTGGGACTCTGGGCCATGTATAAAAATCCCTCTCCATGCTGATTCACACTCGAAACCTTTGGACTGGCAGTCTTTCCTCTAACCAGTTAGCTACCGCGACTCATATTCATTTATATATATATATATATATATATATATATATATATATATATATATATATATATATATATATATATATATATATATATATATATACCAATGTTCTCGGAAAAGCAATATAAGCGCTTTTCAACAAGAACACATAATAATAACAATAATAATTGTTCGAATATGTGCAAAGAAAATGTACAACTGATCCAAATAGATACGAAACAAATTCAACTGTTCGAAATGTCTTCTTCTTCTTCTTCTTAAAGTAGATGCCGTATGGCTCTGGCATTCATTTATATCCACAACCTTCTGTTTCGTGTTCTTTCAATCAACTATAACACAGATGATCTTCCATGCCATAATGTCAAACTGTCCAGCATCTGTTCTTTCGGTCTCCCTCTGCCTCTCCTCACCTCCAACTTTCAAACCGTCACGATGTACTCGCTTTCTCCTTCTCATCACATGACCATAGAATGTAGACTGTCTCTTTCTGATGTGGGCAATCAGTTCTCTTCGTGAGCCAGTTTCTTTCAAGACACCTTCATTATTCTTTTTTGTCTGTCCTATATTTTTATCTTATTTCTGATTTCATCATGATACCCAAGTGCTTAAACATATCCTTTCCTGAGGTTTGTCCCCTTTACGTTGGTGTTGCATTTTAAAAGGTCAGTTTTCTCTGTAATTACCATTACTTCTGTTTTTCTGCCTTCAAACTTCGCTTTCCGTTACAATTATATCTATCATTTCTTGCAGTTGTGTTTCACTTTAAGCGATCAAAATTATATCTTCAGCATATCGCAGGATGTTAATAGTATGCTCACCAACCGCTATTCCAGACATACCATGTATGGATCTAATTATTATTTCGCTCTAAAAATTTAATAAATCGGGTGATGGTACACATCCCTGTCTAAAGATTTGTTGAATATTTTGAAAAGTTCCATCCTGATCGTCCATCCTTATGGCTGCTTCTTGTTGCCAGTATATGATTTTATTATTCTCAGATCTTTACCATCAATGTTTCGAGTTTCCAAAATTATATTAATTTCTTCATGTTTCATTGTTATAATTAAAACACAAATACAAATCTCTATTCATATCACTCATTCTTTCTGAAAGTGTTCACAAGATAAACATGACGTTGTTTGTGCCTTTACATTCAACAAAACCACACTGCTCTTCTCCAATTTCTGGTTTTATTTTGCACCTTATTCTTCTCATGATAATTCTCATTAATATTTTATTTACATGACTCGTTAAACTAATTGTTCGATGTTCTCCACATTCCACTGCATTAGGTGTTTTGGTAAAAATATGAAAAGAGATTTCAAAAGGACAGCAGGTACATGTCCACTGTTATAAATGTCATTGAACAATTTTGTCAAAACTTCTAAACCCAGATCACCAACAGCATTTAATTCTTCAATTCTGATGTTATCTGGCCCTGGAGATTAACATGTCTTTATGTTGTTTAAAGCTTCTTCCACTTCTGCTTTCGGTATTGGCGCTCCTTCCCAGTACTCCTGACTCTCTATGTCTGGTCTGCTGTTATCATCGTATAGTTCTTTCATATACTCTGTCCATTTTTCATTTATCTACTCTTTGTCCATTAGTATTTCACCTTCTTTTGTTTTCCAACAATTACTTGTCCTATATTTTCTGAAATTTGATAGTTCTTGTATTCTCTTATACATGTCTTGTTCTTCGATGTCGTTGCACTTATTACTTGGCCATACTTTATTCCCTGCATTTCATTTATATTACATTACAATCTCTGTATGTATTTTTTTTTAAATTCATCTTGGTTGTGTTTTTTTTTTCTTCTTCTAATTTCCATCAGATGTAAAAATTTTCCCTGTCATTCATTTTTTTTTTCTTTCTTTACTTCTGGTAATATTTCTTTTGATGTCTGTTGTAAGGATTCTTTTAGCCATTGCCATTGTTCACCTCTACTGCATTTCTTTTCAATAGCATTGCATCTATTTTGAACAGTGTTCGAAATATGAACAGAAATAAATACGATTTTTAAATCTTTGTCTGTCTGTCTGTCTGTCTCGCATACACGCAGACACACATACACACAAACATACACTCACACAACACAAGCATAAACACATGAGATTTTTCTCGACCTTGAAAGAATTTTTTTTTTAAATCTTTGGCCATGAAATTTCCAAAGTAGCCCAACAAAAAAAGGCGGAAGAAAACGTTCATTTCATTAATAGCTGAACTGAAGGTAAGAACGAATAAACTAACCTCATTAAAATAAGATTTAAATAAAAGCTTGAATAATGTTATGCATTCTTAAAGTATTCAACAATCAAGGTAGAGAAATGCAGCCAAAATGTTGTGCTACTTACATTTTTATCCAAACATCTTGTGTAGTCTGTCCACTCGCTTCTCTGAGGCTTGCTACTATTTCCCATTGCGAACCAAATACCTTCCTCAGTACATCGTTTCTCGGCGTACCCTAGGGGAGTAAGGATGAGAGAGGGTTATGTATTAGTGATTAGTGATTAGAAAGGATTATCATTACAGCAGTTCGAACCGATCCATAGGTGCTCCGATCACTTTCTCAAAAGCTGCACAAGCGTAAAACGACTGATGACACATGTTCTGTGTTGGTTAATGAAACGTCTTGTCGCATTAAGTGAAATGTTCATTTTTTTTCCAGCTCTAGGTTGCACCCACATGTCCATCAGTCTCAGCAGGGATACGGAGTCATGTTCTTTGGCGTGCCCCTCGGATGTATATTACATTGTGTGATCATCTAAACTCATAAAATACTTACTGGTAAGTAAAGATATACATATTCAAATGATGGATAATTGTAATGTTTTAAAGTTTGTAGAGTCACTAGAGTTAGAAAACCCCACTCTCTACATATTTCATCAAAATTTGTTGAAGCGGAAAACCCTGGGATTAAAATAGAATAAAACATGAAAAGGTTGTCAGACAAGACATATCTGAAGTGCTCGAATAACTCATGAAGAAATGAACTATTTTGTGTAAAACTGTATGGGAAAATATCAGATTTAAAAGCTTAGAACAAAGCACCAACGGAGCCATTGTTTGTGGAACAGACCTCATGAGTGTGTGTGGACATGGTTGTGTGTATGTGCGTGTGCGTGCTTTCGTATGTATGTATGTATGCGTGTGTGTGTGTGTGTGTGTGTGTGTGTGTGTGAGACAGGCAGTTATTTGAGTGCATAAATTTTACCAGAGTCAAAAGATTCCCCTGAACTGCGGCCTGTTCGGTAATTTTCGTGTGTGCCGTGAATGGAGCAGTTGAAACTATGTCAATATGTGTGACTGTATTGGCGTTCAGAAATGCTATAGACGAACTTTATGAATTAGCTATTTAGAACATAAAAACTTACAAATATGTCAGAGACAAACTATACAGATTTGGAGAAAGTCTGGAGCCTTTCTTAGCAGTAATGAATAACGCAAACCAGCTTGGTTCGAGCACGTGGTGAGACATGATTCGATTGCAAAGACTGTACTTCATTCAAGAAACAAGAAACATTCGTTGTGGTGAAAGGTGACAGAGGTAGTCGAAGGATAGGGCAAAGAAAACGTTGAATTGAAAATATCAAGAAATGGACTTGACTATCTATACTTGTAAAACAAGCGGAAGAAAGAAGAAAGATGGCAGGTTTTGTGTCCTAGTGCTTCCATCGATACACCGCCACGACCCTAACAGGTCAATAGTCATGTTATGTTATTTATGCTGAGCTGGAAATGAAATGTGTACAGTTTATGTTTGACGATGTGTGAAGTATCACAGACCTCGCCGGGGTGAGCATTTCTGGACTTTTGGTAATTTACATCGAATAAATGCATATGCATTTTTTAACATTGAATCTTGTTTGGATGACTACCACGACGGCTTCAGCTGACGGGCCGTGCTGCTGACGTCACCGGGTCGGGCTAACATATGTTTCGTTTGTGTGTGACGTCAGAGATTTTCAAAGTGCCACTTTCACTGAGACAGCTAAAAGAGAGAATAAACAAAGTGGACAAGTACAGCAATTTTTTGTTTTAGTGACGATTGAAACAAGTCGATACATGTATATATCATGTTATCTCTTTGTGTGTCCGTGTATAGACTAATTGTGGGTTTATAAGAGAGTGTATGTATGTATGTAAGCATGTATGTATGTGTGTGTGTATGTATGTATTATGTATGCATGTATGTATGTATCTATGCATATATACTGGGAGAGGGTGACACAGAACAGGCCACCAGAAAACTGTAATCAGGGAGGTCACATGTGTAGGCGGTGTGAAGTCGATAACAAGTCCCTGCTGCAGACAATCGTCGTGTTCGGGCTATTATCTCCTGTCACTTTCATCTATGTTGTCTTCAATGATTGTATTAAGTGGCATTGCAAATTACTAGTCTGGAAGTTCTAAAAATCGTCCGGACATCCATATATCATGGAACGAATTTCTGGAGGTTTGTTAAGTAGAATTTGCGCTATGGTGCTACTGTTGTTAATATCCCATTGCGATTGTAACACTGTCATGATGGCAATAAGTTTTTTAGGTTTATGTACATTTCAGCGTCTTTTTGACAATGGCGCTGACACCGACGTTGTCTTATCTTTCCTTCTTTTTCTTTATCATCTTTTTCTTCATCTTCTTCGTCTTCTTCTTCTTCTTCTTCTTCTTCTTCGTCATTGTCAGCATCATCACCAACTTTTGTCATCAGTGTCTTCTTTCTTTTACAACTTTTTTATCACTTACGACTTCACTTAACCATTATAGAGACCTTAAATTTTTTTTTAGAGATACATCATTTGACAGCAGACCGCATTGCGTTGCTTTCAACAGTCGTATCGAGAACCTACCTTTCTTTTTGTAGCAAAGAAAAATGTAATTAGCCTTCCACTTCAGCTGCCAGAAAGTCATTGATGTATATCTAGCCAGAGTGTGGTAACGATTGTCCTTACCCGCTTGGTGTTGAAGGTTTACACCCTGGCTGGTACAGTCGTGGCGGAAGCCTTAATAATAACTTTTCAAGAGGTTGAACGGTGATTCTTGGATCTGTTTTCTTGGTCTGCCATTCAGAAAGTCTTGAATCTCATCATGGTAACGTCAGATATCGATGTTTATGCCGTCTCGTATGTGCTCTAGTCTTTCTATGTTGCCAATCAGTTCTTGTCCATGTTTTTATTGAACTTAACAGTTATCATTTAATCTTCGAGAGGATTCACCAACCAACCAGCCAGTCAGCCAACCAACCAACCAAACATTACCCAGTAATCAATATTCCAAGATGGGCGGGGAGAAGGGGGGAGGAGAAGAGGTCAAGAAAATGACCATATTCACACGTAATTGGCAATCGTAGCAACCGCCCTGCCAAACATCTGTGCAATCGTAAAGTGACACGTAATGGCGGTTTATCGCAGGCAAAATGAGTAGCTGTATTCAGGAATAGTGAATTATGTATTTCCTGCCAGAATTCCGTATGAGAGCATCCGTGAAATAATCTTCTGCTGATTACGTTTCCGGTGTCCTGGTTTTTCTGTGTACACTGACCGATTGTCTGGGTAATTTTATTAGCTGTAAATTGTAATGTATCTGCTTTGTTATCGGGGTTTCCTTTCGAAGAATGGCCAGACACGATTTTATGCATATCAGATACACATTATAACAGAAGTAAATATAATCAATTTGATACCGTGATATCATTCATCATTCTGTGTAAAAATAAAACAGTCATTCCTGCGTACATGTACCATTTGTTGTGTGGTGACGCAGGGTGGCGTGTATGTACCCTTTAATACGTCAGTGAAGGACAGACGGATGTGAGTGTGTGTGTGTGTGTGTTTGTGTTTGTGTGTGTGTCTTAACACATGGGTCTACTTGACACTATTCCACGGGCCCTACGAGGAATACATGCGAATCTGTGTAGGTGGGTGAGCAGGTACTTTGCTGGAGGAATAAAATCGTCACGTTAAGCCAGCATGTCCGAAGGGGGAGCTTTAGGTTATAACTGTGACTAGGTTATGTGCGCCATACAAAATGGCTTATCGCTGCCCGCCACTAAGTAACCATGAAAAGGGACCCCTGCAGTGTTGAGCCGATCAAAGGAGACAGGTCCAAATTCTGCCTCGATCGGCAAAGTCGTCTAACGGCGAGCCAATGATGCTAATCTGTGTGTGTCAAGTGACCTCTTTTATATCATTCCAGCACACTGGTTTGCCCAGGGGCCTAGTATGTTGTTAAGTCGGTTCTCTCTGTGTGTTTGTGTGTGTTAAGTGGAGGGGGAGTCCTTTAGACCGATGATTTGGAGTCGCATTGCTATCACAGTCATCATGGACTCTACATACTTGGTGTAAAGCTACAATAAAATATTATAAACATATATAAATTTCTTGTCGTGTCACAGATAAAATGACAGCGTTTATAAAATAACGAAAGTAATGTTAAATAGAAGACACCTCGAATGTCTTTGGTGAAGCGGGCATATGGTGATTGGAATCAGCCGTGGTGTAGCGGCTAGATGCTTGCCTGCAGGTCCCAACGCCGTGGGTTCAAGTCCTGGCGAAGCAGGCTTTTTATTCGGAAATGACCTAAGCTCCCATGAAATGTGTAGCAACTAGACAACAGCTAAAAAATGTAATAGTACTACTGCCAAAAGCAAACTGACACAGTGAGTAATCATTGAATTATGAAGAAAGCAAAATCGTAGTCTTATTTACTTTCTAACTCTGCTAATAATTACTAAAAAAAATGATAAAGCGGATTAGAGTTTTCAACATTCCTTGTCTCGTTACTTCGAGATTCATGATATGAAATTATAACTAGATTCGGAAAATGCCGAGCCATACTGAAGCCGTCAATCGGAGCTCGTATAATAGGCAACGTTGACAAACAGACAGACAGACAGACAGACACAGACAGACAGAAAGACAGACAGACAGACAGACAGACAGACGGACAGACAGACAGACAGACAGACAGACAGACAGACAGACAGACAGACAGACAGACAGACAGACAGACAGACAGACAGACAGACAGACAGACAGACAGACAGACAGACAGACAGACAGACAGACAGACAGACAGACAGACAGACAGACAGACAGACAGACAGACAGACAGACAGACAGACAGACAGACAGACAGACAGACAGACAGACAGACAGAGGGGGTTTAAAGGGTGACAGAGACGCAGTAGAGACAATAAAGATATATAAATATATGGACCGGTGTTGGCTGGCACCAACGGCGTTCCCGAATACTTCAGTAGTGCGATTATCTGCAGACATATTTCACTGCCGACTACGTATTGAAGAACATCCTTGTTGATTGATAGTGTGACCAGGGCTGAATATATTACGCTGATGTGGATGCAGTCACTTTTCTTGTAAACTAAAATCGTATGTACTATATAAAGTCTTCTGCTATATATCCTGTACTGGAAAGTTACGGCAAGCGGCGTGATGCTGACCA